AATATTATGTTCTTATGAGTACTAATTTTATTTAAATGTTTCATCATTTTGCTGATTTTTCGGTCAACCCTCTGCCACTTTGTGTTTGCCTTCATCTCTAGTTAAGTAATTTCCACGAGCAGCTTCCCAGTTGACATTGAGTGACCGCAGAAAGTGGGGGGAGCGGAAACCGGGAAAAGCTAACTAGAATTTTCCTTGGCAAATAGCTGAAAATTGCGGAGGAGTTTCAAGAAGGGGGAAACTGTGAATGGTGGGGGTATAATTGTGCCGCTTAAACGGCAGGTGATTCGGGTGATAACAAGGACACGGCGGCAACAAGTGAGACGACCGCATAATCCACAGCGACCACAAAGGCCACACGGTGGCGCATTAATAAATTTGCTCTGGCAAAAAGCTGAAAAATATTGAAAAACCGATCTCTACACAATTGTCCATAAAGTGGACACTTTTTTTTGCATAACTTTTTTCCTTCTTTTTTGTTGTTGTTGTTGTTTGTTGTTATTGCCACTGGGTGTCCTTGTTTTTGCCGTGCAACCACAGCAAGGATTAAAGCGAAAAGTAAAGCGGACACGGAGCCATTTACCATTTGCCATTTGCCAATGCCGTTACTGTTGTGACAATGTGGCTAACAAAAGCGAACAACAGCAACAATGAGTCGACTCGTTGATATTGACAACTTTTTAATCACTTAATAAATTCAATAAAATTAAATGCGGTTAAGCGTCAACAAGGACAGCGGATAGCCCCCTGTCCCCAATCAAATCCCACCTCAATCACGAACCCTTTCATCCGTCCCGTCACTCAATCAAAAATACTCAAGCGCTGACAATGAACAAAAGACTCGGAAAAATGCTGTCGAAAGGATTCAATAACTTGGGCTCCCCAAATATTTGAGTGCCCTTTTTTCGGGTATCTCAAATTGTTTGTAGAGGCCTATAAGTATGACGAATCCGAGCTTTAAATTATGCAAATTATGGCGAAAATCAAAAAGTTAAGTGCTGTCATATAAATGCATTTCAAATACAAGTATGAAATCAAAATATATATTAAATTCATTTAAGTTATGGTGTGCATTTAATAACAAACCGAAAAAATCTATTAAAACGCAGTTAGGTAACAATAAACAAATATAAACAATATGGTTAAGCAACATTTAACAATAAGTTGATTTGCCATTCGTTCAAGAAAGGACATTCCACTTCGACTTTCCTTTTCGACCTGTGCGATTTTCCAGAAGTTGCCCCCTTTGAAGGACATTTAATTAGCGTGAATCATTTTGCGCGCAGCATTTTAATTTTGAAAATTAAGTGGCTCGGTCCGAAATCATCGATGTTTTGGTTGGGGGTCCCTAATCCCCACCCTTCTCCGCCCCGACAGACTTGGACTTAGTTGGGGAAAATCTCGGCTATTGGGGATTATGTCGAGGCAGCGACTAATTGGAGTTGTTTTCCTGGGCTTCCATTTTCCAGCTCAATCTAAGCGCATTAGGAAAGCAGAGGAAAAGCAGTCTGAGTTGCGGGTTAACCGCCAAGGCCTTTGGGCTTTTTATTTTTTTAGATGGGGATCCCAGCAATTTCCTTTTCCGTGACAACTAACAAATTGCCAACATTGGCATTTAAATTGTAATGCCTTTAAAAGGCCCGTTTAAAGTTTTCCCAGACAATTGACTCTGCTCGCGTGACACTTTGGATTTTGTGGGCAACTCTGACCCCCCTAAAACCCACGGCCATGGCCACATGCAATCAGCGTTGACCAACGCATTTCATTAGCACCAAATTAAGCAAAAATCACCAAAAAAAAAAAAAAAAAAAGGAAGCACACACAAAAAGAGTCGAGAATTTAGGTGATATACAGACGAATTCAAATTAATAGTGGCGAAAATATTAAAAATAAATAAATAAAAATAAATGGTTAAATAAAATAAAAGTTTGTAAATAATAACAAATTTTAAGTGCTCTCATTAAAATATACATTAAAACAAGGAACTTATTATTACAAAAAACTTGTTATTTCACAAGCTTTATTTTATTTATAATGCTTTCTATCTTTACCACTTATTTTAAAGGGTAATTTTTTTGTTATAAACATTTTTGAGAGCTATGTTCGGCCGGTTGATCATATTCTGTATAAAGGGTACTTCCCTCAAAGGCAATTGCATTTCGTTCGGTCAAAATAAAGCAAAATAAAAGGAAAACAAAACGAACGCGCCTCATTTCGTTTGTAATTTGTTCGGGGGAAATTGGTAGGGAAATTTGGGAGGTGGGTGGACAACAGTTCATTTACCTTTCCTCTGCAAAAAAAAACCCCGCCTCCCCCCTGCCGAATCTCATGCCTGCCGTGCCTCTTTGTAATTTCTGGCCAACCATTTTCCATTGGCCATTTTTATATTTTCGGTTCATTTCGCTGGCCCCTCCCCCACGGCCCGCCCCCTTGATTTTCCCCCGTCCATCGCCCATTTTCCCCATCTTGTTTGTTTTGTTTTGTTGCACTGGCGATTCGATTCGTTTCGTTTCGCGTGGCGCGGTTTCGTGTATCTTTGTATCTTTGTATCTCCTCCCGGTGTATCTCTTTCGGCATCAGTATCTGTATCTTTGTGTAGGCATTTTTTGACTGACGCTCCAAACCGCCGGCAATCACACACAAGCAACCTCAGAAGCGACAACAATTAAGGCGACCATTTAAGAGCGAAACATCAGCTGTCAAATTTACGATCAAAAACTATTTTAGCATTTATGTTTCTACTCGAATTGTAACAAGACAAAACATAAACTGTTTAATAATACTTGTATCTCTTCTAAAAAAAAATCATTTAACAGGAATATATAAATCACAATAAAAATGAAGACCAAGAAATTCAAAAATATATTTATAAAAATATGTACAACAAACTTGATATTAACCAATGCACCAAATATTATATAGATGGTTGTCAGTTCTTAAAACAATTTAAAAACACCAAAAAGTAGCTGTAAATGAAGCAACACAAATTTCAAATTAATGCCAAACAAAATAAAACACAAAGTCAACAGCAAGCATAACAAAAAATACACCAACGCCACAAATAAAAAAACAAAAGTATATTTTTTTTTAAACAAAAATTGCGCTATCTACACTTGCATGCAAAAAAATTAAAACGAAAGTACTGGAGCCAGGAAAAAACATGGGGAAAAGTGTAGAACACATTGTGAAAATGTAAATTTCCCATTGATTAAATGCGAAAATGCAAGTGGTGGGCTGTAAAAGTGGTGTGGTGCAACTGTGAGAGGAGTCATTACGGATGCAACTATTTTTCGGGAAAATATTTGATCAGATGCCAGGCACAACAATTCGAAAATCGCAGCTTCAATCGGATTCACTTGGATGAGAGAAATACCCCAAAGATGCGTTAAATGCCAAATGGATTAATTCACTAATAACAAAAATTACACATAAATAATATAGATTAAAGATTCTATTATACTTAAAAAACATATTAAAATCGACAATATATATATTTATTTAGGCACCTTTGGGAAAGAGTTTTCATGAAGTTGGATTTGTGAAACATAGTTTCCCACTGGCAGCTCACCCACCGCGATTTTGGCCAGTGAGAAACCCCATCGTTCTGTCACCAAATCGAGGTCCTGCGACCTTGACCAATCGAAAGCAAGGTCGGGAGGCAGCGGGTCGACCTTGACGGCCCACACAAACCAAAGGATCAAGGTGTTGACCAGCAAAAGGAGATAACTCAACTGTGCGACTGTGCGGTTAATGGCCTCGACAAATTTCACTGCGGTTGGCCAACTGCATCGACATGTCCTTATCCGCATATCCTGTTGCTCGTATCTGCATCTGAGTCCTGGCTACGAAATCGAGTTAGTTATGCCAATTAATGCGACAATTGTCGCAAAGTGAGCTCCTGCGGATCCACCGAGGTTCCCTAATCACCAATAATCCGCATTAATTGCCATCAATTTGGGCCTGGCCATGTCCATGTCCTGCGGTCAGCAGATGTCCTTCGATGTTCGAGGACCACAGCTCACACTGGTCTGAAATATTTTGAGGGTTTCCAAAAACGGAATATTGAATTCATTATACACCATGTGGAGATTTTTTCAAATTTAAAATCAAATTGTAACAGAAATGTATATTAAATACAAATTATGTATAAAACCCTAAGAAGTCATTTCGTATAAGAATAAAAACGTTCTAAGAATTGCCGATTAAGATGACTTCTCAGAAAAATATATTCGAATAAAACACAAGCCTTGTTTAAAAAAATAAAATAAATAAATGTCTTAACTTTTGATTTACCTCACAATTATATTTCTTATCATATCCGCTCTCTTGAGGGAGACTCAATTGATTGATAAGAAAAGAGATTCTCTAATGAAAGTAGCAGACACTTGGATTTTCCCCCCAACTAACAAACACAAATAGTTCTTATCGATAATACTCGAGAGATAAGTTCAAGTGAAAATATTAATTCGCGGTTGGGTTTTCCATCTGATTTGGGTTGATAATTCAATTTGGGAATTTCTCAATTTGTGGGTAATTTTTGGTCGTGTATTATTATTATTATTAATTCCTACTAATGTCTGCGGGTCATTTGTGATAAGAATAGGTTTTATGATTTAAAGGGGAAATTCAATGAGTCATTTATTGGTTTATTGGGATGGAATTCCCAAAACATTACCACGAAAATTGTAAAAAATTTTGTCATATATAAAAATACATTTTAGAAGATTTTTAAAGACTCATGAACATTTGTTTCTTTATCAAAATGATAGAAAAATTTTTCAGAGATTGAAAATGAATGTTACAAAAATTCTGAAAAGTAATACTAGAATCATATTGATTCATATTTATATATCCTTTTTTTTAAGCTTTAAATATGAAAATAGCTAATTTTCATTTTAAAACACCTCTGTTTATGATTTTTACCTGAAAGAAATTTCGCTGAAAAATTGGAAAAGACTTGAAAAATGAAAACAAATAGTTGATATTTTTTGTAAATACTTTTCGTGTGTCATTTTTGTTTTTTATTTGGTTTTGTTTCAAATTCGATTTTTGTGTTAGATTTCTTTTCGCGCTAAAACTTACGGCTAGACAAAAAAATTGATTTCTCACTTAGACGACTAGTTAAACATAAAGATTAAAAATAGCTAAATTCGCATATTATCCATCGAAAAAAATAGGTTTCTCAAAAAAAAATAAGAAATAGAGAGTGTTACAACTAGTTAGCTATGTACAAAATGTTTTGTGTTTGTGAAATAAAATTGAACTAAAGTTGGTTTTCTTGGTATTTTCTTTTTGGGTTGAGTTAAGTTTTTTTTTTTCTTTTCGTCTGGGATTTGTAGAAAATCCTGGTGAAAATCGAGGGCCTGGCTTTCGAACTCGTCGCACGATTTTATGAATCCGAGCATAAAACTTCGCCGGAGTCTGAAGTTCAGGAGGGGGGTCCTTTATCCTTTTTTGCCGCTGCTGCTGCTGCTGCTGCTGAAGATGGTAATGATGATGATGATGATGAATATCCTTTAATCCCACTGATGAGGCTGCTCCGTTTGCCGGCCGGAGGCGTCGTAACTTATAACACTATATCACAATTATAATTTTTGCCCGCTTGCCGCTCTGCGCCGCCGCTGTTTTATCACTTTGTTTTTCATTTTCATTTTCTTTATGCTTTTCCAAAGATTTCCCCTTGGGATCCGTGGCAGTTCAGTAGGGCCGCCACACGGTCTTCTGCTGAACGGCGGCGCTCTTGATCTTGGTGGTCGTCTCTGGCGACGGCTGGCGAAGATTGCCGGCGATGGGACCACCGGGTCCACTCTCATGGTAGAGCGGCTTCATGGCCGAGGGCGCCTTGAGGTCGCAGCGCATGCGGAGGGGCGCCACGTCCAGGCTCTTGTCCAGATCGAACTCCGACTTGACCACATCGATCTGCTCGTCATCCGAGTCGCCGTCGGAGGCGGACTGTTCGTGGATCGAGCTGGTCTCGATCGAGGTGTTCAGCTTGAGCAGCACATGCTGTTGGGTGGGCGAGGAGCTGGACGGCCGCGAGGAGGCGGGGCTGACATGGGGCTGCTCCTGGCCCTGGTGATGCAGTGCCGCATTCCTTGCCCGCAGACCCGCCGCCGCCGCAAAGTTGTACGGATGGAAGGCGTGGGGCGTGGCGGCCTTGGCGGCGGCTGCGGCTGCCACATGGTTGAACGGGAACTGGGGCATGGCATAGGGCGTGGCCGGAGCCGCTCCCGGTGGCGATGGCATCATGGCCGCCGGTTGACCCGCCGCCGCTGCCGCTGCTGCTGCTGCCGCCGGATGCGGATGGGGATATTCACCGGACTGCTGGACGGCCGACGAGGAGCTGGTGGCCTGCGGATTGGGATTGGGCGAGACGGAGGAGGCCGACGACTTGGCCAAAGCAGGATGATGCACCTGGGCTGCCTGGGCGGCTGCCTGATGGCGGAAGTAGTCCGCGTAGCCGTAGGTCATGTACGCCGCATCCAGCCAAGCGGGATTCAGCATGAAGGGGTTGAAGGCGCCGGGATGGGGATAGCCATAGCCTGGAAGGATAAAAAAAAGATGGGAAATTAGTAAAGCACAATTCGGGTTTCATCAGGTTTTTAATAAAAGGTTTGGGGAAGGAAGTTCTGGGGGTTTTGGTTGGTTTACTTATTGACTTCAAAAAATTATAGAGCAAATTTAATATATCTCAAAAGCAGTTTTAAATTAAAAGAATGAGTAAAACGATACTCCTTTGCTTGAAGTTTAATAAACGTTGTTTATAGTTTTAAGATTTTTTCAAGAATATTCAAAAGAGAGATTTTAAGTGTTGAAATACTTTATGAACTGAAGTAATAAGAAAGTTGAAATGGATTTTTGGGTGTGGGAGATTGGGGAGTGGTTTGAACTGAAAACATAATGGAAACTAAAAAACTCACTTTGCTTACTTCTTGGCTCCCGTGGCCCATCGACGGTCACCTTGATGGCCTTGCTGTAGCTGGCGATCTGCACGGGATATGTGGCGATGGTGATGGTCAGGGTGAAGGACTTGCCGCGTCCCGACCTGCCCACAAATCGCAGATCATTGAACTTGGCCACCTGGTTCTTCATGGTCGTGGTGCAGTTTCTCAGCTCGCCGCAGTAGTTCTCATCGTTGCCGCACTTGATCGATACGAGGGTGCCATCGGGCACATCATCCAAAGCGATCACCTTGAAGGCGCCGGGCAGGGACTTGTTGGATCGCCAATGGTTGGGCAATGCGCTGCACAGGATCGAGGGGGATCCCGTCTGTGCCAACTCCCCATGGTATTCCTGCAGCATCTCGTGCAGACTGGCGAACATATCGGTCATCGAGCTGGGCATCTTGGCGGAGTTCGGCGGACTGGTGGTGGCATTGCTGCTCGAGCTGGTGTTATTGTTTGTACTGAGATCCGGTGTCGAGCTGCCCGTGCTGCTGGCCGAATGGGTGCTGGTGTTGGCCAGGTTCGTTTGGACGGCATTCGCGGGCATTTGGGGCATTTGGGGCACTTGTGGGCCCTGTGCCACTGCTGCGGCGGCTGCTGCGGCTGCTGCAGCTGCTGCGGCGGCGGCCAGTACTTGTGTGTTGTTGGCCACCATCGTTGGACCCGCTGGCAGATGCATCTTGTATCCGAATGTCGTAATCCTTGGAGTTTGTGTTTATAATTTTCTTTGTGTTTTTTTGCTTTTTTTCACTTCACTTTACGGTTGGTCACTTGGAAAAAATTCGGTTTTTGGAAAAATATTCGGTTTTTGGTTTTTGGAATTTCGCGATTTCGAATATTTCTCTTGTGGGTTTCGAATCTTTTTGGTTTCAATACGGTTTTTGTGTGTGTTCGAAATCGTTTCTCTGTGCGTTCTCGACACGCTAAAGTCGCTGAGTGAACTGATTCTCTGCTGCGATCGTTGGCAGTATTTAAAGTGGAATGCGCTGCTCGCCGCCGCTGTCGACGTCGCCGTCGACGTCCATCGCCCCGTCTCGCTTGCACCCGGATAGGCCGTCTCGCTTGCGCGCGTTATCCTGGGCGGTATGGTGGTGTGGTTGGCTACCTACGCACACAGGCGCGCTTTTAAGGGTGCCGGGGCAGGTATATATCGGTATATCGAGCAACCACCATTGCCGCCGCAACAACAACCACAGCAAAAAATTTCCCATTTTTCCATTGCGGTCTCTCTGTGTGTGTGTGTGTGTGTGTGTGTACGTGAGAGAGAAGTCGCTTGTTACTTGTGGCCAAAAAGGAAAAAAAAAAAAGAAAACAAGCGGAAAAAAGGAAAATCACATGGGCGAGAGCGAGAGAGCGATGGCCTGGAAATTGCACCAAAGAAAAACTCAAAAAAGAAATACACCGAGACTTTTCCGCTCTCTCTCGCTCTCTGTCTCTCCCTCTCTCTTTTTCCCCACAGGCGGTCTGGAAAATGTGTGTGTTTTCCTTTTCTTCGTTTTTATTTTATTTTTTTTCGCCACGCACGCCAAAAGAAAACGGCCGTGCAACAGTTTTCCATTTTCCACTTCCAGCGGCGCGCGTGTTTTGCCGGCCCTCCTGTGGAGGGGCGTCCTCGAGGGGGCGGGGGCGGTACAGGTAGGCACCCATGGCCTCACAGGGGGGAGGGGGTGTCGTAGGGCGTCCTGCCGACAGGACATGAGGACTCAATTAGCCGAGGGGAGGAGGGATCGCGGCCGAAATTATCTTAAATAGAATCACAATACAAGTGGGATCCTCGGAACACAATTAAAAACTCCTTCACAGTATTTAGATAATTTAGTAAAAAAATATCTCAATTAGAAACATTTAAAACTATCCCAACATTTAATTATTATGTTATTACAGACTTTAATCCTTTCGTACTAAAAGTACTAACTGAATTTCAGGATCTTCTTAGGCTGATAAATGAATGTAGAGAGTGTAATATAATATTAAGGAGTCATAGAATAAATACAAAACAATGTTAATCTATTCAAAGGAGTAACAATTAAAAATACACTTTTGCTTACCAAAATCAGTTAAACAATTTACAATGATAACATATCTAGGCACTTGGTCCTAATGTTAGATTATTTCTGCTATTTTTATTGCAGTCTTTCAGGCTTAAAGGTATTAACCGAAAAAATAGTTTAAACAAGAAAGGAAAGCTAACTTCGGGCGGAGCCGAAGTTGATATACCCTTGCAGAATACTCTGTAAATTATATTCTCCAAAATTATTCATATGATGCATTCTTAATACTCATAAAAAATCCGAACTTCCTAACTTTAACAACAACAAAGTTATGGCATTTCCAATCGTTTAGTTATATGGCAGCTATAGGATATAGTCGGCCGATCCTTATGAAATTTGATAGGTCGGATTGATTGGCCAAAAATAAAATCCATAGAAAATCCCAACTTCCTAACTTTACAAACACCAAAGTTATGGCATTTCCGATCAATCAGTTATATGGCAGCTATAGGATATAGTCGGCCGATCCTTATGAAATTTGGTAGGTCGGATTGATTGGCCAAAAATAAAATCCATAGAAAATCCCAACTTTCTAACTTTACAAACACCAAAGTTATGGCATTTCCGATCAATCAGTTATATGGCAGCTATAGGATATAGTCGGCCGATCCTTATGAAATTTGGTAGGTCGGATTGATTGGCCAAAAATAAAATCCATAGAAAATCCCAACTTCCTAACTTAACAAACACCAAAGTTATGGCATTTCCGATCAATCAGTTATATGGCAGCTATAGGATATAGTCGGCCGATCCTTATGAAATTTGGTGGGTCGGATTGATTGGCCAAATATAAAACCCATAGAAAATCCCAACTTTCTAACTTTACAAACACCAAAGTTATGGCATTTCCGATCAATCAGTTATATGGCAGCTATAGGATATAGTCGGCCGATCCTTATGAAATTTGGTAGGTCGGATTGATTGGCCAAATATAAAACCCATAGAAAATCCCAACTTCCTAACTTTACAAACACGAAAGTTATGGCATTTCCGATCAATCAGTTATATGGCAGCTATAGGAAATAGTCGGCCGATCCCGGCCGTTCCGACTTATATACTGCGTGCAAAGGAAAGAAGGGTGTGTGCAAAGTTTCAATCCGATAGCTTTAAAACTGAGAGACTAGTTTGCGTAGAAACAGACAGACGGACAGACGGACAGACGGACATGGCTATATCAACTCAGGAGGTGATCCTGATCAAGAATATATATACTTTATAGGGTCGGAGATGTCTCCTTCACTGCGTTGCACACTTTTGACCAAAATTATAATACCCTCTGCAAGGGTATAAAAAAGGAGGTATATATAATAATACTTAATTATTATTAATTTGATCCCATACATAACTACTGATCATTTCCAACATAACAAGAATTACATTCCTTTGTTTGCAAATGTCCCAAAAATTAGTGTGTTATTCAAAGTAAACAGAAATCCCTGGCTGATCATATTACACCCATATCCAACTGAGACCCATTGTTGCCCAATGTTTTCCTCCGATTCCGCCCAAATTTACTCGATCTCGGAACTTGATCAACTGCTCGGCGATCTGCGATCTGGATCTAGATCTTGGGCCAACTAACACCCATTGTCAGGTCCGGTCTGTCCCGGATACTATCTAAAACTCACTGCCAACGATCTCTCTGCCGATCCACTTAATCCTAATGCTGATCGGGGCGATTATCTGGCGATTAGTCATGTAAATATTTGTGCGCCCTCAGCTCGTGTGGCGCAATCCTCTTCGATTTCATCTCCATTTTCGCTGCCTGCGATCCCCGATCCTTGATTGGATCAGGTTTGGCTAGCTGATCGGATTTAATCTGATCCGGAAGTGTCATACTTGGAACAACAGCAAATACTTTTAATCCCCCACTCCTCTGAGGACAATCGATACATAGCTAAATGTTGAATAAAACTTCGATATAAATGCAAATTGTTTTTTGTAACATTTATTTAAACAATTAAGAAAGTTATCTTTACGGCTAAAAACCTTCAAATATCAAATTATTTATAGGAATTACTGCTTTTATATTTCCAAAACGAAAACTTATGTTTCTCATAATTTTACAAAGACTTCAAAGTGTTGTTTAGATAAAAATCTAATCAATTTTCTTGGCTTAACTTCATTTATTCACCTTTTGAGTTTGAAAATAGTTGCCTTAAACAATCAACTAACTTTAAGAAATTTATTTTAAATTTTTAATATTGTGTTATTATTTGAACACATGTTTTTTTTACAGTGCTACTCAAATCAAGTGCTTGACAGGCCAAAAAATTGCGGCCCACCAAAACAACCTTAAAAACGAGGCCACACAGGACCCATTTTTTGTTTTCTGGCGGGGAGGGGGGTGGGGGTGTTGGATTTTTCCAGGACGTGAGGAGGAAGTGAAAATGGCGGGGGGAGGGGAACCGCGAGGCGAGACCAACCAAAATGTCGCGAGAACGCGCCGCTCTCAGCTGGACATTATGGACGCACACTTCCAGTAAATCCAGCAAAGCGGCAGCGCTGCCTTTTGTACGTGCGCGGTCGCTCGCTGCGAAGGACCTCGTGTCCCTATGCCGACTCGACTTTCCATAGCCCCGGGATATATGGCCGGGGCCGGCAGGTTTGGCGGGCGTGCGACAAGGACGCGATTGCCGATTGCTGATGGTCGATGGCCGATTCCCGGGAAATCGCTCCTTGGATCCTGCTGCGATTCCTTGGCAATTTGCGACAGAAGCCGCCGCAGCACGCGCATCGCAAGTATCCGCAGGACCTACGATCGCTAGAACCAGGTAGTACCTGCCAGTACCTCGTATACAGGCCCACAGGAGCCAAGGGATCAACCCTTTTTTATTGGCCCTCTCGAACGCTTTTTTGCGGGCCCCCAAAAAATAGGGAAAACTACGGTTTAACTGCGTTTCAAAGTACCTGAATTTGAATATATATCGCACCTCTAATCAGGTAGTCCAACCGCGCAATCTTAATCCTTTGCTTATAAAAGTCAATCGCCCGGATTAACCAGCACGCCCCGCAAATATTTTGGCCGATTAGCCGCCGCCACGGGCCATAAAGTATGGGCAAAAAAAAAATGAAGTACTAGCATCTGATATTGACTACCTGTGGACCAAAAACTAGCCGTTGTTCACTTTTTAGTGGGATTAAGCGAGAAGTGAGAGAGAAGTGCTACCAATATTTACAGAAATGCATATTATTGATATTACGACTTAACTGGAAACATGTATTTTATAAAACATTAACCAAAAAAAATAAGTATTTAGAAATACATATAATTTTGTATTATATGAATTATAAAACTAAATATTTTAAATTAGATTGAAAACGTTTTTGCGATAGAATACAAATGAGGTACTTACCCCGCAACAAAGATCACTGAACATTTTTTTTAAACTATGATTTAAAGATAAATAATCTACTGAAACTAATAGGGATTATTGCAAACCTCGCATCGCAAGATATGTAAATTCCGAGTTTTCCCCGAATAAAGATTGCCGAAATGAGTTCCTATCGAAACTGCGATCGATGGTTGATCAGTGAATTCTGAATTTTCGAGGAGCAGACAAACGAGTATCGCTATCAACCCCCAACTACAATTACCATACCGATCATTTCAATTGTATATATTTAAATATATATTGAAGATCCCTCCCTCTCGAGCGAAAGAGATGGCAGTAGGGAAGTCGAAAGAGAGGGAGCAACGATCGAGGGGTTGGGGTAACCGCAGAGATCAGCCAACCGTGGCCGAGCAGATGGCACAAAAAGTACCGGGCATCCAAGGGGGATGATTTATTAATAGAGCGAGCGGTAAGCGATCGTGCCAGATAGAGAGCGTGCGAGAGAGAGAGAGGTGGAACAATTAAAAAGAGACTCCTATACTCGATCGTAACTCCGCCTCTTTTCA